TGGGCGCCGGCAGCCTCGGCCCCGGCGCCGCTCCCGCCACCCGCCCCGCACTCACCATCCGGGGCCCCGGCCGCCGCCATGATGATTGTGTACAACACCCACCGCTCCCGCAGGGGCCGCCGGGAAGGAGCGAGCGACTGAGATTGGCCCCCGCTGCAGCCCCTGATCTTGTACAGGCTGGCCGGAAACAGGTGGAGGTTTCTATGGAGACCCGCCTCCTCCGTTTCCCCGGCCCGGCCCCTGCCACGCTTTAGCTTTCCCGAGACGAGGGGGGCGGGCCCGGGAAACAGCCCGCCGCCGGGGCTCTGCCCCCTAGTGGCGGGCGGCGCCTCAGCCGTTCAAGGAGGCGTGGGTTCCAAACTCAAGGCCTGTGCCTTTAAGGGGCGGGCCTGAGCCCGCTGTGGCGGACGCCGATTGGCTGGAGGCGTGCCCGGAAGTGACGCGAGCCCACGTGTGCTACCTTCGCACATGGCGGCGCTCTGGAAGAGGGTCCTGCTGCCCGGGACGCTGCTGGCGCCCTCGGCTCGCCCCCCGGGATGGCGGGAGGCCACTTTGGGCGCCGATCTCGGGGGTGCGGTACGAGTGCGCTTCGCCCCCAGCCCCACAGGTAACCTTGGAGGACGCGACGCCGCAGGCCCGGACCTCGTGCGGTCCCGCCCCCAGGACGCTGCGGGACGGATCCCTTCCGGTGGCGTCCAGGGCGGGAGGGCGACGGGGCTCGCGACCCCGCTAGGCGGAGGCCGAGCGGAGGAGCCCGAGTGCGGCGGATGTGGTGCCCTCTACGTAGTCAGTGGAAGCGTGGTGGCGGCCGCCTGTAATCCCAGCATTCGGCGGTTGAGGCGGGAGTACCGTTGCAGGTTGGAGACCAGCCTGGGTTAACTGTGAGCTCGAGGGCGCGGAGACAGCGCAGTAGGATGAGCACCTGCCTGGCGCGCTCAGGGTCCTGAGTTCAGTCTCAGGTACCGAAAGAAAAAAAAGCGAGCTCAGGCCACCCTTAGCTGCGTAGCGAGACTCTGAAAGGAAAGATGAAAAGCGCACTCGGTATAAGCTGTGCCGTACAGGAGGCGCTACGCGCGATTACCTTCGCCGCCGCTGCTGGTGATTGACAAAGTCGGCCCTACTCGCAGGGAGCCTGTATTCTAGTCGCCCGGCAAATGCCTATAAAATTTTTAAACCTTGTATGAAACACACGCCTCTAACGCAGCGTTCTGAGAGGCTGAGGTGTGAGGATCGCTCATTGAAGCCCAGCTTGGGATGCGAGTGACTAGTCTCCGGAAGGGGCGGGGTGGGCATGTAGCGCAGTGCCGGGGGAGGCCGCGTTCCGAGTCCCAAGTGCCTCGCAGGGCGAAGCGGAGCCGCAGCAAGAAGGCTTTTCTGGCAGAGAGCCGATTGTCAACCCGGAGTTGCTGCTGCGTGAACTTGAATACCACGTGCTGGTATTACACCTCTGTGATGGCAGCACGTGGGAGGCTGAGGCAGGAGGAGTGCCATGAGTTTGGGACTAGCCTGAACTGCCCTTGCCTCAAAAATAAACCCTCCCAAACAAAGAATCGTCCAATGTGAAGCCTATAGGAGACCGCAGAGGAGACTTCAGCTGCGCGGGCCCTGCTCCCGCACTGTTGGAGGTGGAGCTGCCCGCCCGGAGGCCGCAGAGGCCTGCTCTTTTTGACTTTTTTTTTTTTTTTTTTTTTGAGACAGGGCCTTGCTTTGTGATAGTTGAGGCTGGCCCTGAAGTCACAGTGTAACCCAAGAAATTCTCCTGCCTCAGCCTCATTGCTGGGATTACAGGTGTGCCCCACCCCACCATACCTGGCCGCAGCGCTCTTCGTTTACCAATGCTGACATCGGTCTCTGCACCCTGAGCATATCTTACAGCTCAGACCCCCGGTCCGCAGATGATCCTTGTGGCAGAACCCCAGCTGGCACGAGTGCCAGGGTCATGTGGGCAGGCCCGGCCGTGCAGACGAGGGCTTCCCAAGCCACCTGTGGTAGTTTCTAGTTGTGGAGCAGTATTTGTATAAAATCAATGTAAATGGGGGCCCAGCCCTAGCTCAGTTCTTTAAGTGGCAGCTTCCACAATGCTGGCAACCTCAGTTTGCTGTAGTTCGATCCCCACAACACTCCAGCCATGCAAAAGTGCCCTGAAGGCATTCAAGGAGCAACCCCCCCCCAAAAAAAAATACCTTATTCCATAAAATCAATGTAAATGAATTGCTAGAAAAACACAAATGTTGTAATCATAGAGTCCAAGCCTTGCAAACACGTGGGCAGATTACCTAACTTTCCTGTGCTGAAGTTTCACAATTGTTCATAGCCCTGCGGCCTGGGATTTGAGCCGGTGCAGCTGAGCATTTAGCAAGGCCTGGGAGGAGAGCCTGTAGTGTGAGAAGTGCTGCTGAGCCCAGGGAGGATTAGCAGGCGGCATGGGTCGCTGCAAGTCGTGGGGTGTTCCAGGCAGTGTTTAGGGGCCGCGGCAGCCCCGCTGTGAAGAAGGTTCCCACTGTTTTCTGCTAGTACTGGAAGTTGCACCTGGGGCCTTTGCACTCACTACATCCCTATCCGTTTTGACTTTTTTACCTTGAGGCAGGATCTTGCTACGTCACCGTGTAGCTCAGGCTGGTGTTGAATTCAGTCCCATTGCCCCAGCCTCTCTAGTACTGAAATTACAGACAGGACCAGCAACCCCGGTTTTGGGAGGTTCCTGGTGGGTTGGTTTTTTTTAATCCTCCAACAAATAAAGAAATTGAAGCTGATAAAAATTAAGTCAATGGGGCCAGGGAGATGGCGCAGTGGAATAAGCACTTCCCTGGCAAGTGCAAGGGCCAGAGTTCAATCCCCAGTTCCATAAAAAAAAATTAAGTCAAATGGCAGAAGGATAGTGACTAGAAAGGGTGGACTGGATTCCAGGGGGACATGATGCATGAGGCCTTGTTTGCAGCTGCTAGGCCAGAGCCTTGTGCCCTGGGGCACAGCTGGTTTTGCGCTGGCCTTGCAAGTGACCAGCCAGGCGTCACCACGTCCCCTGCGTAGGCCGAGGGTCTGCCTGACCCCGGAGGAGCTTTTCCTGATCGTGGCTGCACCTGGAACAGCAGAGGAGCTCACTGTGGAGATCCAGGCCTTGCGCTGGGCTGAGGAGAGGAGAGGAAGCGGTCGCCCTGGGAAGCTTAGTTTTAAGTTTTTAGTCAAGGAAGGTGAAAAAAGGTCTTACGAGTTTAACTCTGGTAAAGCAAAAACAAGTGGAGTCAAATAATTGCTTTTGGTTAGTCTTTATTTTGTTGTTGGTTTTTTTTAAATTCTTTTTTTTTATATTTATTTATTTTTATTTATTACATTTATTTATTGTGTGTGTGTGTGTGGCCAGCTCAGCCCACCAGGGGGCGGGGCTGGCTGGCATGTGGTGCTGGAGGATCGAACCGAGGTCCCTATGCTTTGCCAAGCTTGTTTCAAGTAGGTGCTTTAGACCACTGAGCCATCTCTCCAGCCCTTTTTTTTTTTTCTTTTTTTTTTTATATATTTGTTGTTGGTTTGAGACAGGGTCTTGCTACGTACTTAAGGCTGACCTTGAGCTCACCGCGTAGTCCAGACTGGTTGCAAATTCAAGGTGACCCTCCTGCCTCAGCCTCCTCAGTGCTGGGCTTACAGGCATGCATCCCTACACCTGGCCAAACCCCATTTTAAACACTAGCCATGCGAGGCGTGGTGGTGCAGGCCCATAACGCCAGCAGTATTCCAGAGGCTGCGGCAGGAGGGTCCGTAGAAGTGACGTGGCCAGCCTGAACTGCATACCGAGATCCTATCTCAGTAAATGGAGACGTAAGAGTGTGAATCTCGAGGAGGCGAGTTGCAAACTGTATGAGGTAGATAAGAGCATGTGTGGCAAATGTGATTTATAGCATTTAAAAATTTCTTGGCCAGGTAGGGTACTAGCACACACCTGTGATCCCAGCACTCAGGAGGCTGAAGCAGGACAACACTGAGTTCAGTGCAAGTGTGAACTATGTAGCGAGACCCTGGCTGAAAACAAAATAAAACGAAGAAGTTTGCTTTTCACTTGTAATCAGTTTACTCTCACACTGTGTAGTGAAATCCTGTGCCGAAAGAACATAAATTTTTTTAAAGATTTGTATGAGTTAAGTATGGGTGTGACACGACTTCATTAAATGATCCGCTGGTGGGCCTTCAGGTGAGCACTGCAGAGCACGGTGAGGCATGTTTGCGAGGTGATGTGTCTGAGGCCTGGCTGGGCTCCCACTTCTCATGTGAGGACTAGGTGTGTCTGCCTCACCCCTGCCATCTTCAGTGGCAGGCTGGCGGGCTGGGTATTGGCCAGCGAGGTGGGACACCCAGAGCCACTGCCTGGTCTCTTACATCGCTTGGGGCATTTTGTTCCGAAGGGAGCGCATTTCTCCTCTCCTGTCTGAACTCATCTCTTCTCCTGCCAGGCTTTTTGCACCTGGGTGGCCTCCGCACTGCCCTTTACAACTACCTCTTTGCCAAGAAACACCAGGGCAGCTTCATCCTGCGGCTGGAGGACACAGATCAGACTCGCCTCGTGCCGGGGGCAGCGGAGAATATCGAGGACATGCTGGAGTGGGCCGGTGAGCCTGGCAGGAAGGGACCCTTTTTGGAGGAGGGAGTGGCCCTGGCCAGGGCTGGGGCTTTTTTCGTGGGGCTTATGGTGAAAGTTAGGAGTTCCTGGCAAAACAGGTAAAGCTTAGCTGGCTGGAGGGGCAGGTACCGCATGAGGAGATGGTAAGGCTCTCAGAAGCCGAGATCCAGGGCTGCCTGGGTTTCCTTTTATTTTTCTTTTTTAAACAGTGGCAATGTTTCATATTTATGAAAGATGGGAACAAACTGCAGAGCAAGTTTGGGCCAAGTAAAAGTAGGAAAATGGAAGAAAAAAAATTTAACGTGCCTATGGCAGAGGTGGGCTATTGTGAAGAGACGGGGTAGCTGGGATTCCTTTTCTTATCTCAGAATCTCAAGTCCATTCTCTGTGGGGACCAGATAGGAAACAGCGCCTGTGGACGTTGGAGAGGCAAGGCCGTGGTGAGCGGGGGGAAGGGGGGCCCACCCAGACGCGGCAGTGCCTCTGAGCCCCACGTCCTGAGAGTCCTGGCCCCTGCTGTGCAGCCTTCCGCTTCCAGAGGAGCCGGAGATCTAGTGTTCTGGTTTTTTCTTAATCCTTTTATTGTTAAATCCAGGCTCCGTTTTTTTTTTTAAGCACGTGCTAAAAGCCAAGCAAAATGCAGTCTCACAGGTCAGTCTTGTGGGATTTAATCCTGAGAATAGCCAGCCACAGGGATCACTAGGAGGTGCAGTTGTGTGTCCTGCATCAGGAGTCCCTGATGGACAGGTATAACCAGGGAGATTAGCGGCCCGAAGAGGGACTCCACAGCGGTCCAGGGCATAGATTCTCATCTCAGGAGGTTATTCCCTTGACGGACTCCTGATGGGCAGAACCCCATTTTATTCCAGCTCTTGTTAAAGGGTTCGTACACGCTCATTTCAGGTTCACTGCTTGAAGGAATTTAGTCACGTAGGTAACTCCCTGTGACCCAAGCTTGTTCCAGGTGGTGGGGGTGGTGAGCAGAGACCCAGCTCTCAGCCAGCGGGAAGATCAGATGAGCAAGGAGGCGACTCCTAAGGTGACAGGAGTGGTGGGAAGGTTGTGGGGAACAGGTTAAGGTCCTAGGTGAGGAGTGCCTTCCTAGACGGCCTGTGCTCCTTGGAGGGCTAACATCGGCGCAGAGACTCAGGGAGATACGGGGCAGCCGGTGCTTACCTAGGGGAGGCGCTTTCAGAGCAGGGGGCGTTGCAGCTGCAGCTGTCCTGCAGGAAGGAGGGTGTCTGAGGGGTGGCGGGGAGGACGGTGCGGCTGAGGACGGTGAACAAAGTGGCGTGACTGGAGATCTCTGGACAGAGAGGCTGCTCTGGGACGAGTCGGGTCATGCGCAGAGGTGCCTCAGCTCACCAACTTAATTTTCACAGCTCTGGTTGCAGACGAACTGCAAGCACACACCCGCATTGAATTCTGCAGTGGTATCATGGGAAGAAGTAAATTCACGAACCAAGGCACTGCTGAGGTCGTGCAGGCCAGAGGGCGGGCTTTGTGCAGCATGCACAGGAGGCCTGTGCTGGGCAGGAAAGCCGCAGGGGCGAGAAGGGCCTCGGGGCCTCCCGTGCCCAGTGCCGCCATGCGAGCAGGCCTGCGTCACCCTAGGAGCGCTTCCTGCCCTGCCAGCTCTTGGGCGGGCGGGCAGACACTGGGCACCCAGCACCCCAGGTGGCCAGTTTCTGCAGCTGCTGTTTGGCTGTCCCTTTTTTTTTTTTTTTTGTAATATAATTCATATACTTTGAAATCCACCACTTTGAATTAAGCAGTTCGGTGATTTTTATTATGGTCCCTTTGCTGTACATCACCAATTTTATTTTTATTGATACAGGGTCTCACTATGCAGTTCGGGCTGCCAGCGTGGCATGCGGTACCAGGGATCGAACTCAGGACCTTGCGCTTGCGAGGCAGGAGCTTATGCCAGCCCCACTCTAGGACTCTGTAGAGAAGCCCTTCATTGACTAGTAGCCGCCCCTCTCGGCCCTTCCCCCCAGCTAAACACCAGTCTGCCTTCTGTCCCATGGCTGTGTCTCTCCTAGGGGTTTAATGCAAATGAGATTATAAAATGCGTCCTCCGGGACTGGCCGCCTCCCCATGCCCAGGTGGCAGCACCACGCGTGTGCTGTCGCTTGGATTCGCGTCGCGTGGGCCTGCCAGCTTTTGCTTATCCACCCTCCCAGGGGTGCTTATTAGGTTGTCGCCACGTTTTGGCTCTTACAAATAAAATGGCTGTGCCCGTTTGAGCACTAGTTTTATTTTTAAAAATTTTATTTTATTTTTAATAATTTTATTGAGAAAGATGGGTACTAGTTTTAGGTGAATATGTTTTCAGTTTTTATAATGGGGTCCCTTTTTTTGCAGTCACTCTAAAACTTGCCCAGGGCTGGTGAGATGGCTCAGTGGTCTAAAGCACCTACTTAGAACAAGCTCAGCAAAGCACAGGGACCATGGTTCAATCCCCAGCACCACATGCCAGCCAGCCCCGCCCCCTGGTGGGCTGAGCTGACCACACACACACACACACACACACACACACACACATAAATAAA